TTGAGTTGAGTATTGTACTATGCACCTAAAGATTCAGCAGTTGCAGACTTCTTCCACAGGATTAAGTGATTTGCTGACCAACTTTTAAGCACACCTTTAGGTCCTGTTAACTTTAATGAGAGATAAACGTATCTCTCATTATATATTCAGAACTGACTGATCTGAGGTTCTTCCTGCCATTTTTATAATGTCAGAGTAAGAAGCAGCATTACGAGCAAATGCCACTGAAGAGATGTAAATCACAGGACAAAAATAATACCTTGCCATATCCTCATCTAATGCTGAAAACGCTATATACAATTTGTCTTCAATTGTCATTTTATTTTCTTCCATTTGAGTTGCAGTTCAGATCAGAGAAGAAAAATAAAAGTCTTGTTAGAGCTACAGGTCAGTGTAAGATAAGAAGCTCGGCACAGTCACTTCTATGTACTGTACATACAAAAGTGGCCCAGATTGGTATTTAGTTTATCAGTCTAGAATCTAGGAAACACAGGAGAGGTACTTGAATGTAAATGCATTGCCAAAAGATAAAAATCTACATCACAGGATGAGTGTCACTTGCCCAGCAATTTAAAGGTCATCTGACTTACATCGTTTTTCTCTTACAATTAGAATAATAGTGAATATACAGAGTATAAATCACAGCTTTTTAAAGATTTGACCTCCTAACTGGCCTGGCCCACAAACTAACGCATGAGACAGCAGAACAGCACAGAACGAAAAATTATAAAGAAATTCAATCAGAAAAAAATTACTAAAGATGTTTTTGGAGGGCTGATTTCAAGGAGAACCTGATTTTGGTGATCTTTTTAAGCACGAATGAAAATGATAAAAATCCATTTTTTTTCTGCTGTAAAAGCAAAAGTCAACAGAGAAGTGCATTCTTTTGCTGGAATCCAGGCCTAGGACCAAAGAATTTACATATATTAAATTATCGAGATCCAAACTCCTCTACGACAAATATTTATACTGTGAAATATTACAGCCACATTCCTGCATCTCCTTACAATAATGATTTTTAAGGACACAGTATACTAGGAGCATATAAAACAGTGGGTTTCTGCAGAGATGGAATGCTTCATTATCAGAGTAGCAGCTTGTTCATAAATATTAAAAAGTATGGGTTTGAAGTTTTTCAAACATGATTCTTACTGTTTACATTGTCTCTCTACTACTGAAAACAACAGTCGGTGTGTACCTGTCCATAAGTCTCTCTCACAGTCTTGAACTGCTGAAAACAACTGCTGATGACTGTAAAGGATAACAATGCCTGTGCTGGACATACACTAAGCAGAGAAGGGAACAAGCAGTCTGACCTTACCTATGCAAGTAGTCATGCTTACAGTTAAGGGTCTAATTCTTGCTAGAGAGAGCAGGATTTGTCCCAAACTGTGCACAGATGGGCACAATTCCCTGATGTATTGTAAAAGTAAGTCTTAAATGTATGGGTAAGATGGTTCATTTCTGTTTGCATATGATATAGGCACTTCTGTATATTAGATTAGAGATGGCAAAAAGTATGCCAAGAGAAAGAGACATGCCCTACTACTACAAGAAGAATCCCTTAAAGATTGCTCAAGACAAATGAACATAATAGATCTGATCTTCCTTTGGTAAAAAATAAACTCATGGATATGTATTGATCTGCATTACAAAACAGCTCACCACAGATCAAACTTCAGAAAAGTGGCCCGTGAGTTACAGAAATGAATGGCTTCTCCTGTTTATCCCCTATTGCTGTTAATCATGGGGAAGAACACAAACCAAAATCTAAGAAAGCCACAACCTAAACAGCAGAACAGGAAGACCCACCTTGGCTGCAGCAATGTATGAGTTTCCTAAATGGGGCTGCAGGGCAGAACTCTCTATGGGAAAGGAGCGCATGTTTACCCTTGCATAAATAGCTTTTACTAGATGATGAGATCACATGGAGGATACCATTGAAATATGGAAAATAAACATGGTTAACATGTGGAAGGAGAACTCAAACATAGCAATAATGACTGCAAATGCCTGCTTATTTGAAGAAGAATGTTACCTAATTTACTTCCTCTCAGTTTACACAGCTCTAATTTAAGCTGCCCCCCCTCCCCTTCCCGTTTTCCTGTATTTGCAAGAACCAGTGAACACAGAAATGTGCAGCCAGCCTGGGCCCTCAGGCCGGTGGATCAAGATGGCAGGCTGGCCTGGGCTCCCCCGGGGATAGCAGAGCCAGAAGGGTGATTGGACACAGTGACCTGTCTGCATGAGATGAGACAAAAACAGGAGGGCTGTAATGCTGATGAACTAACCTGTCACTCACAAGCTCAGGTCTGGAAAAAAATAAAAAAAGGGAAAAAAAAAAGGGGGGGTGGTGGTGGTAAAAATGAACAGAAAGAAAGAAGAGAAAGGTACAGTACAGCTTTAGAAAGCACACAAGGGAGAGAAAATATAGCACAACTGGAATAATTACATGATGCATTTAATTACCTATGCATTTAGATGGGCTCAGGATGTATAAGGAACAGGGCATAAAAATCCAGCTAATAGTTTCTCTAAGAGCAAAACACATGTAAAGAAATAATGGGTATTATGGTTCAGCGTGCAAGAAGGATGTTACAGGCTATTGCTGACAGGGATCGGGGTTTCATTCCAAACACTCCAGTTATGAATCAAAATCACAATGAGCAATGAGCTTCTAGATCTTGACATGCTAGGCAAGGAGGTTGTTCTTCAGAGTACTTGGCTGTTTTATTGCTTGCTTGGGGGAGGAAAAATCCAGAGGGAAGGTATACAAGCAATTCTGCACCTTGGAGCCAGTACACCCAGGTGCTAGGTAGTGGTCAGGATTGTAGCGCTCTGCCTACCATTGCTATCACCAGTGGGAGCCACTGTGGACAGTGGTGCTTGGAGACAGATGAAATATATAAAAAAGAAAGTGGAAAATGCATTTAATGATGTACAAGTGCTTGCTGTTGAAAATGCCTTTAAATCAGCATGCTCCTGCTATTACTTTCGTGTCATACACAGACTAGTGTTTGAACTACAAATAACTGCTAGTGTTTCTGATCTCCATTGGAGCAGAGACATACATGTATACTTCGGGGTTTTAATTAGGCAAGTTCACACTCTATTAGTAGCAAACAAGCCTGAATTTAAAGCTACATCTGCAGAATTAGTCAAAACAAAATTTAATTCTCACAGCTGAAAAAAAAGGCAATTCTGAAATAAAAAAAAAACAAATGCTAAACATTTATTTCAGTTTCTGCTTTTGGAAGGTTGAAAGTTAACAAAGACTCTCCAGAACTTTTTCGAAAACAAAAGTGTCAGGAAATGAATGTTTCTTCTAAAAAACTACAAATGCCAAATATGCAAATCTTCATTATTTATCAATCCTAAATATAGTCTGACACTGTGGAAAGATTTTACGGCATAGGGTTTGCCTTTTGATAGTTATTTTCTCTTGTCAGCTGAGTATTAGAGTCCATAGAGAAGTCTATTTCTATTTTCAGCAGTATGGTAATTACATTGATTGCTCCGTGCTTCCCAAGTTTTAACTAAACTCTTTTATTCTACAACTAGAAATCACATCATTTTTATCCAAAAGAAATATTTTTAAACTTTCTGTTCTAGCTTCACATGTAGCTAATAACAACCAACCACTGGACAATGAATCACAACAAAAACATACTTGAAAATGCTATGGATTTATGAGCACATTTGGATGCGCACACTTACATGTATGATATACAAATGAGCACACACACAGATCTAAGCAGAAATGTTTGCAACACCTGACACAGTAACTTCCACGATAATAATATCCATACATACTGCCATTAAAAACCCAAAGAAGTGAGTCACCTAAAATAGCTATATGCATTTTTCTTTGAAGTCCATGCCCTTTTACTGATTTTAGGAAATGAAATAAACTAGCACGTGATATAAACATTTTTCCAGACATGCACTGAACTTTTTTTTTTATTGATGAAATATGGAATGTTGCACGCAGAAAAAAAAACAAGCTCCTACCCTTTCCAGCCTCAAAAGCACTTTCCGAGAGCCAGCAAGCTTTAAACATAAAATAGCTAACTCACACTTTTTTATATGCCAAAGCAAAAGTTACAAAAAAGAGATATTACAAGCTTTGAGATTTATCAAGGTTTCAGGGTATGTTTTCTGTCAAGTGTACTTGCTGAAAATCTTGCCATTGTATCTGCCTTAGAAGCATTAAATAGATTTCCCTAAGACTGCACAAGTTTAGACAAAAGGTAATTAACCCGCTCTAAAATACATATTTTCACAGAGGGTGAAACTGGCAAACATGCCCCACTTTTTCGGTAGAAGCAGCCTAATAGGAAGCTGTTAATGTTTTGGGGAATTTTTAATAAAAAATGTATCTTCTATTTTTAAAATATTTAAAGCAATAAAAGTCTGTGGTAAACATGGTATTACATATTTGACATTTTCCGCCCAGAAATGCATTACTGTGTACGATGGTATTAATAAACCATGTGCTTTGAGGGACTTCAGTGCTTTGCCATAATTTAGTTGAAAACAGTGCGTAGGATATGTATTTTTCCACCATTGTATCAACATATAGGAAACACAAATACTATGTCATCACCTCAGCAGCATGCGTTCACTACACTGGAAACATGCAAAAAAAGAAACCAAACCCACGAACTTTTGAGAGTTCAAAAAATACCCTTTGCCAGAGACTGATTTACAAGTCAGTGGTTAATGAGAAAGTGTTGAGCACTTAAAATTTTGTTAGAGAAAGAAAGGCAGGCACCCTCCTCTCACTCCGGCTGCATGCACAGGAAAACAGCCCTCCCTGTACAGCAGGACAGAAATAATTTCATTTCTTTCCCCACTTCAGGTTATTATTTGAAAGCTAATGAAAAGGCAATGATTCTTCTCTCTTCTGGCTAAAGGTGGAAACAGCATGGTTAACACACACACATAAAAACTACAGACTTATCAGAAATCACAAAACAGAAAGAGAAGGACTCACTGACCCATTTGGAAGACAAAGACGACAAAACGGAAAAGCTCTAAAAATCAGCTTGTGAGGCCTTTGAGAGATATTCTTCTGGCATTTCATCACAGCAGCCCCAGACCAGTTCACTTCCCTGGATACAGGGAGGGAGAACTAAATAGAGCTGTTTATTAAAGCTGTTGTGCTGGATTGCATTAGGAAGCACGAGCAGACCACCTGGACCTTTCAGATTGTGGCAGTGTTTAATTTGCAGGCTGTCCCTCTGCAGCAGCAAAGACTACTACATTTACCAAGCTCAATCACACATTATCTGGGTTAGGAGTAAAAGAAGAAAAAAAGAAAAAGAGAAAAAAAATGTATAAAATCCACAGCCTGTAGTACAGCAATACAGTCAATATAGAAATAATGAACAGCATTAGAAATAGAAAGCAACTCCCCAACAAACATAACACTTGCACTCCTCGCTTCTTCTACTTTAGCACATTTAAACAAAATACAACAGAAAATTAATAAATAGCTTGATTTGGCAAAGCTCAGACTAAATTATAACCCGGGTTTATTAGGAGAAAAGCACGGTATTTTAGGTTTAACTAGTGATTCCCTGGCCAGATTATTGTGGTTCTTTTGCCTTTCTCACTTTCAGTCCTACACTCGCTGGTAGCTGAAGATACAGATAGAAAGATGGTACTGTAAATATGAATTATGTGAATCATATGGTTAGACCCTTGTGGAAAAAAAAAAAAAATAAAAGGGGAGTTGAGAAATGGCTGACTCCATACCTGACCAATTACAGCTTGCATGGTCCCTGTGTCCTGCTGAGCTGAAAGATCGCAATCCATCATATGTAGTCTTTGAAAAGGAGAATGGGGGTTTCTGGCATGCATCTGTCAATCAACTTCTGCACTCACAACCATCACCAAAAGCAAGGGAAAAAAAGTCAAGCTGCTCCACCAAATAGGATGAAACAGTCATGTGACCTTCAGCACACTCACACACATACATACTTCCATAGAATGTATGAATTTTCTGCAGATATGAAATGACATTGACAAATACCCAATACCAAGTAAATAAAGTGAGACAAACAGCTACTCACCAAAGACAAAACACTTGCTGTAATCTTCAGCCTAAAGATTTAATAAACCTAAAAGGTGTTTTAAACTGAGGCTTTTCTTCTGAGCCTAAACTTTTCAGATAAGGTGATATAATTTTATACATGCAGACAGTGGTCAGAACTTTAACCCCTTGCGTCCTCCTGCAGCCTCTGACTTTTATACCCCCCTTTGTACTTCTACTTTAGAACCATTCGAGTGCCTGATTCTTTTTTCTCTTTAAGTTTCTTTTGTGTCAAAATGAAGACGCTCGTGTTGCCTTCTTTGGATGTGCACAAATTATGAGAACTTGAGAGAAGAAAATTACCAGCAGGGAAAAAAAGGAGCAGAGGCTGAGAAACCTGTGTCTGTACTCACGAGCCAAAATGTGCCTCGCTGCTTTACTCCACCACAAGTCAAATGTTTTCTTTATTGGAAATATATATGTAAGTATTAGTTTATGCAAGCTGTTATGAGCACTCAAAATATAAAATATTCAGACTATGTAAATCCTACTTACGGAATCCTTTCCATTTTGAAGGTTAGCAGAGTTTTGGTTCATTCACTGCTCCACTGAACTGACATAAAATGTTGTTACTTATGAAGGCAAACATTACCATTTTTTCTAATGGAAGCAGTTTGTTTCATATATCTTCCCCTCTGAGTTAAGATTTGCAAGAATTCCTAAGACTATTTTTTCTTCTTGTCAAAATACATCAGCCACTTGTCTCCAAAACCTGAGTGTCGTGAACAACACACTGCAGCATTGATTGCTGATACGTTATTGGCCAGTGATTGCTGAAGGGTGACATTAATGTAACCCGGTAGCACTTTAACCCTTCGAAGATCAATACAGTCTGCTGGCAATATAGTAGAATAACAGCCCGTATAATTTTGGCTGTATTACAGCTTCATATAAATACTAGGGCATCTTTCTGCCCTCCTGAAATTGCATTTCTGTTACTAGTGCAAATAACTGGCTTTTCAAAGACTGTCAGAAGCAAAAATGCAGGGGAAAAAGGCAGCCTAGTCTCTAAGCGTAATATAATGCACCCTTTCCATTCTCAGTAAGTTTCTGGCAATACTTTGAAGTTATTATCCCTTTTTTAAAGGTATTGACAATATTGATTTTAGCATGTGATAGCCAAAGAAATGTGAGAGTATCAACAATATTCCAACTGTAAGCACAGCACTTGCCAGTCTAATATTTCCTACAGTATGATTTTAAGATCCAGCATCCAGCAGTGTTTGGATTAGGATGGAGTATATGTGCATGTGTATGTGTATATGCATGCATGTATAGGAGGGAAAGAGTTTATGTTGAGGGGAGTGAGATGGGCAGGGAACAGCAAATTTACTCTGCATTCTTCCAGGTTTTATAGTACTGTTTCTTTTTTTTTTAATTGCTAAGAAAAAGGTTAAGGAAGTTTCGGAACGTGTTCCAAATATCAGAAACAAGAAAAGAATTCACAATCATGCACAGGGACCCAGAAGTGCTCCTAGGCCAATGAGGTATTTTTGCTTAAAAAGTTTTTTCAAATCAAGGACTTGCAGAGCGATAGACAATATTAACACTGAAACGTTGCCTCTGGGATGAGGAAGGACTGCTTAAAATGGGGCTTTTAACATCTGCTCTGCATTTCACTTATAAATGTAATTGAAATGCACCATTTGTGCTGAAATCTTATCTGCTTCTTACTCATGAAAGAAAATACACTGAACTAATACATTGAGCTGCCTTTTGGTCAGCTGAGAATTTGCTGCGGTCTCATCCCTCAGGACTATTCTATGGAAAAACCAGGCAATGTTGTGAAGGCCATAATCAACATCCATATCATCACAAGCAATCCAAAATACAGCTGGTAAATGGGGGGGGGGTCGTAGAGGAGATTACCAATTGCCTTGGCTGCCTCCAGGAAAGCAGACACACTGTAGGCAAATACTGGTCTCAAAGTGTGATTATCTGCTGCCTCTCTTTCTTACCACAATTAACCTACACTTCCAGGCAATGCCAATCTACTCTGTAAAACATGAAACCATTCCTGCAGCTAATGCCTCTGCCTAAGTCCTGGCATCACTGTTAACCTGAATAGCTCTAAGAGTCCCCTCTGCTACCTCTGGAGCAGCCCTTACCTCTGTGGAGTTGGAGGCCTTTTCCCCCAGCTAAATCTAACTGGTCCTATAGAGACTGAATTGCTGGTCCCTGGACACCATATCAGATTCACTACTCACCCTTTGGGCCTTCCACCAGCCATCCGCCAAAGGTGTCAGTCCGATACTGTTTTTACTCACTGTGAGGACTTGTCTCCCTACCCCTTTCCAAGCATCCCCTTGCTTTGCAACTCAGAAGGTGATTTAGCTCTCCTGTCAGCAGCCCAAAAGTTGAGGGAGTGAGATAGCTCCTAATCTGCCACAGGGCAGGCTGGGGTGGAGAGCTGGGTGCAAAGGGGAGCTCGGCCAGCCAGGTTCGTTCTAACACTGCCAACTTGAGGAAAACTGCTGAAGGACAGAATGACAAATAGTGCTTCCCAACCAGCTGTGCTGCATCTCTAGCAGAGACCTTCTGGTCTCCTTTAAAACTTCTTTATCCGTGCCTTTTCCACAGCATACCCGAGAGGAAAATGGTTATGGAACCACAGCAATATATGGCAGCTAAGCCTTCCTATATGTCACTATAGCACTCAACACAAAGGTCTCGGTTGGCATAGTTGTACCTAAACTTATTGAGAGGGGGGCTATGATCAAGGCTTACACACGGAGGAGGCTCTGTTGCACTTAATCAGGGAGAGTGTAAATTCAAAGGTGTACAAAGCCTGTGTTTTGAGCGATGCACTGGATCTCTGGCATCCAGGAAAAGTGGCAGTCTGCAGGGACACTGAATGCTTTCTCCCTTTCTGCTTCTTTCTCTGGTCAAAACTGCAGTACACTTTCCCTCTTTAATTGAAACAATAAAAAATTAAAGTGGGGCTTTTGAACAATGTGCTTGAATTTACCTCTCGGTTACAAAGGTATAAACTTTTGGAAACTGTATTACTGTATATAATACTTTCTCTGTTCTTCTTCCAGAATATGTATTTCCTAGGTGAGAAAAGCAAGGTTTACAATTATGCAGCAATGCAAAACCAAATTACTTAGCTGCTAAAACGTGTTAAAATACACATAACGCTCACTATTTATGGTTCCTCGCTTCAAAAAACAGAAGCCTTGTGATCAAGAGCACCCAGGGTTTTACTACACCACCTTTCCGCATTTGCTCACGTACCATAGCACAACTTGCAGCAGATTTCAATGAATCGGGAGATCCTCCTGCTCCTTACAGCGTCGGTACACTAGGGGGACTATTTTGCCTCTTTTCTGGAGTGACGAATGCACGGCGCTGTCAGAGCAAGCTGTTGTACCTCACTCTACAGGTCCGTTACTCACCGGTGCTGAACAGGTTAAACAGCAAGGCTCGGTCTTGCACCCTCTGAAGATAAACAAGCCTAATTCTAAGCTGTCAATGGCTCTTCCTCCCTCTCTCCCTCTCTCTATCCGTCTCTGCCACCCAGACACTATATTGCATTTTGCATCTTGATTTTCATGGAGTGGGTTTTTCCGTATGAGCAAAATTCTGCTCTCATTTATGCTAATTCCTAAAGAATTGTTTTGTGTTAAGAGGCACTAATGAATCACCATCTCTTTCGGTGCAAGTCCATGCTGGTCAATCATTTTTGCTTTTCAAAGGCAATTTTGCTACTTGAAAAACCCCTGCTGCTTCTAATTCCTGCTCCTCCAGATTTTAGTAGTGCTTAATTCCTGTGTCCCTTCCACTCCCCCAGAGCTCCACTTCCCAAAAACTGAGCTACCAGGAGGACATAGTCAAGGACTGCACTTCCTTCCCTGCACAAGCACTTGGCTGTATCACAAAAAGGAAATTTGGGAAAAAAAGATGAATTGCTGGAACAAGGTGTAAGCATAATCTACATCTGACACCTTCCTGTGCAGGCAGTGGAACAGCTCCCTTTCCCACAGCACTATCCTGCACTGGCTGAAGAAGATTTCTGCAAAAGAACTTTCTTTGTTATGTTCAAGAAAAGAGGCTTCCTGTCATGCTCTGCATCTTTGGGAAGATGGGAATACATCCTCCCCCTTTCCTGCTACATCTAACCAACTAGTTTGGTTGAAAACTTCTTTTTGTCTCAGGGAGGACAATGTTCAATAGGTCTTTCAGGTTCCTGATCAAACTAGAATTTATATCGGATGGAGGTCACACCCTAAAAAATCCCTAAGAAATGGGACTGTGGTTCCTCCCATCTACATAGTGAAGAGACAGCATCCTGCTCCTCTAATATGAAGTAATGGGAGATGATTACAGCACTGATGCTGGTACCTAGTTAGATGACAAGCTAATGTCACACCTCTCCCAGGTGAAATGGAATTGTGGAGGAAAAACATGCAAAGATGCAAGATGGATTAGCAAGAAAAGGTGATATTGACTGGGTAAGGTTTAAGAATATCCTTCCTAGATGCATTACTGACTACAGCAGCCTTAATAAAACCACATTCCTTATGTCTCATGGTTTCTTCTGTAGTATCTGGCACAATGGGCTGTTTAAGCCATCTCCTTACTGGATACATCATGGACGATAATGGAGAGTTACATCGTGTGAAGAACAGACTATATTTGAGTGCACTAACATCATTCAAGCAAGGCAGCCAAAAAGTATGAATGAGCAAAACCAGGATTCTTACAGTGAACTGCCTTTTTCCAAAATTTTTCCAAAATCATTGTCAGGATTTAGAATGCAGCACTGACAAAGGCACACAAAGTATCGAAAAATCAAAAACTAAAGTGTAGTTTTCTGATCGCTGAATAATAGGAATTTATTAATGAGTCACAGCATTAACTGTATAACTCTTCAGAGCAGTAATGCTCTTACCACCCCAACAGCGCAAAGCAGGCAGTCTCACAGTGTGTGTGATGATGATTAACTTCTTATTCACTGATGCGTTTGCTTTCTTTTATTTGCGCTGTAAATGGCTACTAAAGCCGCTACTTCCACTTCAGCACAACCCAGTGTAGTGTTGGTATCATCAGAGACAAAAAAAAAAGAGTGCATATGGATGTGGATGTGGCAGGAGGGATGGGTAGTGGCAGTGAAAGTACACACATCCTACATGCTACATATCCCTTAGATCCTCAT